TTGCACGAGATCTCTTGGCTGGAGCAGGCTTGGCTTCCTCGTCGCCATCGCCCATCTCCTGGTCCTCTTTCTTGACCTTCTTCGCGCGAGATCTCTTGGCCGGAGCAGGCTTGGTCTCCTCGTTGCCCTCGCCTCCCTCCTCGCCCTCTTGCTTGACCTTCTTGTCGTGAGCTTTGCTAGCTGAAGCAGGCTTAACTTCTTCATCGGCCTCCAACACCTCCTCATCTTCTTACTTGACCTTCTTTGCACGAGATCTCTTGGCTAGAGCGGGCTTAACCTCTTCATCCGCTTCGACCATCTCCTGATCCTCTTGTTTGACCTTCTTTGCACGAGATCTCTTGGCTGGAGCGGGCTTAACCTCTTCATCCGCTTCGACCATCTCCTGATCCTCTTGTTTGACCTTCTTCGCACGAGGTCTCTTGGCTGGAGCAGGCTTAACATCCTTGTCGCCCTCGCCCATCTCTTCATCCTCTTGCTTAACCTTCTTCGCGCGAGATCTCTTGGCTGGAGCAGGCTTAACGTCCTTGTCGCCCTCGCCCATCTCTTCATCCTCTTGCTTAACCTTCTTCGCGCGAGATCTCTTGGCTGGAGTAGGCTTAGTCTCTTCGTCGGCCTCACCCATTTCCTCATCTTCCTGCTTGATTTTCTTTGCACGCGGCTTCTTCACAGGCTTGACTTCCTCACCGGCTTCATCAACTTCGTTCTTAACCTTAGCAGCGCGCTTCTTCTTTGCAGGCTTGGCCTCCAACTCTTCTTCATCCGACTCAACCTTGGCACGACCACGTTTGGCTTTAGCAGGCTTGGAATCCTCGCCTTCTTCAGCCTTTGTTGCGGCTTCGGCGGCATCCTCTTCCTTCTTTCGCTTCTGTGCAGCTGTTAGATAAATTCCTCGCTTGCCAAGCTGGTTCATCTCTGGATCCTGCCGTCGCTGTCAGCACAAGCAAGGGTAGCGAATTGAAGGTGTGCAAACATACCCCATTCCAATCCTCGTGATCAATGAAGCCTTGCGTAATCACACGTCGAACTTTCTCTTGAAGTTCGGGATGATCAGCAAGACTGAACTTGTCATCCTCGTCTCCGTAACCATCGAGCATCCCCCAGTTATAACCATCAGGTTTGCCAGGATCCGCAAGGGCCTCGCGCAGATGTTGAAGTTGCAATCCGCTGACACAGCCCCTAAACATATGTTAGTTGCACTGGTAAGTTGAGAAAGCGCATCTTACCAGTGTCGCCACTGCCAACCAGCGTTGCCATCCTGATACGTGACCCAAGTCCCCATGCGGAGCTCGCCCTTCTCGATAAAGGTGCCCGAGCTTTTGCATTGTGACACCTGGCACTTTGAACGCCCCGATTTCGCAGTTTCTGGTGAGAATTGTTAGCAGAGGAATACAAAATGTATATGACCACAACGTTGGTGAGATTCGGTACTATCACGTGCAGTGAAGGAGACCAAGATGAACACGAAGGGGATGACACAGGGACAACTTACCAACACGATAAGACATCTTGATAACTACGTCGAGAGAGTTTGCTCCTTGAAGACCTGATTAGCTGTAGTGCGCTTGTTGTTTGATGAAACCAACTTTGACGCTGAAATCTGATGATGGGGTTGAAACACCAGCGGAGGCACGATGATGTCGTCGTCAATTTCCACAAAGCCCAACTATTAGAAAGAGGTCACCCGCCCCCACAGCACCTTGGATATGTGTTGCCTTCGATGGAGATCGATGAAGAGGGGTTGAAAGAAAATGGAAAGTCAGAGGCTGGGAAATGTCAAGATGTTGTTGTAGTCTTGTTTTAAGCGAGAGACACTAAAAATTGACCTCACCTCAATCCCTTCCTACCTACGTTCGGTATCATCTTCCGCGCTTTCAACTTCAAGGTCCGAACCCTTTTTTCGGGTGAATTTCGCTCCGAAATGGCTCCGCTGCTGATCTTCGCATCAAAGTCAGTAACAATTGTCCGCCGTTTTCCATGCTAGTAGGCAAGTTACCTTTGATCTGTGCTCCATACCATATATTGACAGATCTTGAGAGTCGGGAATGGACTTACATATGTGGAATCAATGACTGATGTCACTGAAACAGAGATTGTTGTCGAGAACTTTTCTGGGAGCTACGCAGCTAGAGATCTCTGAATTTATGATGATTAGGCGTTCCAAAGTTGGCTAGAACAGAGTTGTTGCGGCTGCAACTGGACTGTTTCACTTTCAGAAATTATGGCTGGACGTTGCTAAGGAGTAGAATTCCACACTTTCTCTATTTTTGACTTCTTGAAAGCAACAGCCTTTGATGGTACCAGTCGCGAAAGGTGGGGCAAAAGTAATGCTGGAAGGCAATGATCCGAAAGAATATTTTTGAAAGCTTCATTTGCCTTTTCCTCACGTCGGTGAAGATTTTGTAGTAGCCTTCGACAACTCAAACTCCCTATCATTCAGCTTTCCTATGAATTTGATCTAGTGGCCTTTCCTAAGGGGAGACTTGCGCTATCCATATTTTTGGAAATTGAGTCCATTGTAGAGTCTGGGGCAAGGGATCCCAGGAGTCCGGCCTGAGAATCTGTGTCATGTGAGGTTACCCTATTCGACGATGATGTTATTGTATCAGTGATCACCATTGAGTCACAATTTAAAATGTCTGCAATAGTTTGCTCATCACTTTGCTCTGCCTATTCTATTATTGTCTCTACCAAAGTCGTGCTTATGGTGGTTGTCGCTTGTGTTTGGGGACGGGCAATATGTTCCGCAAAGGCCTCAAGCAATGCAGCGCCTCAGAGACCTACACCCTTTCCGATTACATACTCTGAAGGGGACCAGGAGTCCTTCCAATGATTTGGCAAGATCACAAATTTCCTATCGCTACACCCTTGAACTCCGCTGCAGTCATTACAAGAGCCTTCCTAGCACCATACATCAGCGGCTGGACATCCAAGCCAGCTTTAATAGTTCTAGACTTATCATACTTATGTATTCAGAGTGTTGAGACTCCATGAAGTTCTAGCAAGCGCAGCGATGTCAAGTGCTTCTGCCTCTTCGAAAAGTTCTTTATCTATGAGAAGACGCGGCAAGGCCACCTTTGCCACATACTATGCCGACATCATTTTTTTTTTCTTCAAAATTTATAATAGATTAAATTTTCTGCTCTTTCTGCTCCTGCAAATCGCATTTCGAGAGTGCGAGTGCGAAACCAGTTGCGGCGCCTGACGGGATTCTGTTCTCCCTCGCTATGTCGTCTAGAATCACTCTCGTTTTCCTTTTAAAATGATCTGGAATTCCAAACCAGATTTCTCCAGGTTCTAGTACAAATGTTTTCTCTATGGAGGTATCTTTTCCGTTTTGAACTTTTGTTCGTTTGATCAAGGGTGATCCGTTGCTGAGATTGGATGCCGCATTGATATTGCAACTTTTCAGCATTCTCAAGGAGTCTATGATCATTAGTCTCGTCAATCCTCAATTGCTTCGTCGAATCTACTAGTTCGGTCTTCTAGTCCTTGGGCTTTTCGTCCCTGGATTACTGTTTTTTGAATTAGTCTTCCTTGGATTACTTTTGCTTGCATGTCTTCTTTTCGAGCACTTGCTCTTCCTGCTCCTCATCCTCGGACATCGTCTAGGCGGAAGTCTCAGCAAATTTTGCCCCCTGGCGTTAGATTATTTACACCCAGTTCGATTTTACGTTTCCTCTGATGGTAGGATTCGACTCCCTTTTCGATTCTGATTTGAGCGACTCCGATTTTGGGTTGACCTTGGACCCATCCGAAGCGCCTTTTGCAGGTGGAAACTCACCACTGGTAGGTGGATCTTCCTTCCTCGGCTGAGCGCTGGCCGATTGCGCATTGGAACTCGTGCTCGGGAGGCAGATTCTTGGCACCTTCCCTCGCGACGCACCCGGCCACCAATCAAAAATTCGTCAGCGACTATATGAGGCTGTGGGGTTTTAGCCTGTTGTCGAATTCGATAAACCCTGTACCATCTGGCGTCAATTGTGGTGCCCGAAGGCCTTTCCTGAAAGCTTGGATGACTTTCCAATTTCAAATTCTCCCTCATTGATATGGGATCGATTGACCCCCCGAATAATTTTCTCCCTTTCCCGATACCGCAAAGCGCTTTTCAACGACCGACTCTACGGAGACTCGGTTGCAGGGTATATTAATTCGATGAAGTCCCTGACTTTTGACCCCCGAGTTCTCTAGCGATCCTGTTGCAGTATCTTCGGCAGGGAGAATTGGTGTTGTTATTGCCATGCCAAGACCTAAGGCCACGGAGGAGGCAACATGTTTACAAGCATTGAGCCGCATTTTTATGCCGCCAAACAAACCTATGACGAGATTCTGGATAATGAAGACGTAATGGATGTGAATCCTTTGAGAAAATAGGTGGCAACCGTGTTCGGTTTTGGAGTTGTGAGGTGATGAGAAGTGAAACCCAGAGCGGCTTACTCTGAATGATTATGCTTTAAGATGAGACACAGAATGCCGCAATCGATACTTTCAGAATCGAGTGGTCAGAAGCCGACCATTTCAACGTGCATACCATCAAATTTTTGGACCAGGTTGGGATTTTGACTGGGGATCACCTGTGACTTAAGCGAGCCCCTTCTTTTGCTCGCCTAGGTACCTGTTTGCGTATTGGTGTCGGTGGAGTACCTACATACTTGGAAGTATTATGGACACAGTTTTTAAAAATTATGCACGATATATTGGACAGTCATCGTATTCCCAAGAGTCTACATGCCTTCTCTAGTTCCCACTATTCTTACATATAGAATATATTGTTGATTAAAAGGATCTCCAAGTCATTTTTCGACATTTATTCGAGTCGTTCGTTAAATCGTGAAAAATTTTTACCCGCCCCGAAAATCTCCACACGACAATAAAAATGATTCCGGTCGTTATGAAAGCCAAGCTTACAGTAGACCTTTAACATCTGTAGAGGGTAAACCATACAAAATCATGTTTAAGTACGACTTTTGCCCACTAAAAAAAAATTCAAAAAATTGAATTTGTCCCTCAGGCGCGAGTCGAACGCGCGACTTTTCAATTGTTAGCAATTGACTGAGAGTAATGATTGTTGGTGTGCACGAACCATTCCGGTGAGACTGAACATTACAGCCGGACGCCATAAACCAACTAGACGACCGAGGGTTTGGACTTTTGCGCTTCTTGTCGTTGTAGTTAGTGAGCACAAGAAATTGTACGACGTTCTAACTAACAACCACAAGAAGGCCACTGTGGTGAAAAAATTCGGCTTATTTTTCTACTTAACGGTGTCTTAGTGATACGCTAACTAAAATTTATGTGCAGAGATCCATTCTCGCTTAGCAAAATCGACGTTTGAGCGGAAATTGTACCTCTCAGTTTTGCAGCAAAATTTGCTTTTCTATTCAAGTTCTCATTTGAAGAAGTATTGCTTGTAGAGCTCTGTAGGAGCTTCTATCTCCCTCATCCAGTAAGCTAGGAATCCTTTAAAACCATGAAGTGTCTTTTATTCCTTCCTCATTGGCCACCACACATATTTATGGAAATTCAACACCGAGCATGCTATTCAAGGGAACCCATGACCAGTTAATATTTTCCAATCTCCCGCATTAATCTTGCTACATTTCTACAGCATCAACCTTGACATCCTTAACCTTTCTCCCTTCACCCCCTATTGGTGTCTTCAGCCCAAAGAAAGCAATCATGCTCACTGCCAGAACGCCCATCCCCCCAATTGTATACGCAACCTCTCTCCCAGCCCACCAATACACGCTCGTGAAGAGCAGTGGTCCTACACCTCTACCCAATTGTCCCCAGCTCCTCAAATTGCCCAATTTTTCACCTCGCTCGTTCTCGCCTGCTTCGAAGCTGCTCAGTGCGTTCAGGCCAGTAACCACCGTTGCTGTTGTAACTGCTAGTAAAGTCGTAGCTGCGTACAGTCCGCCAATTGTGTTAATTCGAGCAAGGAGCAACAAAGCAAGAAGGCAAGACACCACACCAATACGAACAGACAACAACGGTGGAAGTCTCCTTGTAACACCACCTTGGAGGAGGGATGCCACTAAGCCCATGTATCCCAAAAGTCGACCATTTTTTGCAGACGTGTAGCCGAAGAGATCGAAAGTCATGAACGGAAGAGAGAACTCCATCCCAGAGAAGAATAGGATGAACGCTAGATGCGTGAAGTTCAGAAGCAAGTGCGAATTTGTCCTTCTGACAAGTTTTCCACCAGTATGAGGAGCTTCTGAGGATACGAGTTTTGCTTGCGTGGCTTTAGTGGTAGATCTTGTGGCCGCTTTCGTGATCCCGTTGGTGGCAGCAGGCGCTCCAGAGAGCTTTGCAGAAGCCACCTTGCTCGGGAGAGTCTCCGGCAGACACAAGTAGAGGTATATCGTCTCTGTCACAATCAGAAATAGGGAAAATCCAGCTGCGGTTGCAAATGGATTAGCTTTCACAGAATTGACCGTGCTCAACCATGCTCCCAATGCTGGACCGAATGTAAAGCTTATGCTGAAGCATATTCCTACCAGCGCCATTGTAGAACTCCTTTGTTTTTCGTCTGATATATCTGTAGCAATTGCAATCGCTAGCTGCACATTGCCTTCTGAAAGACCGCCTACGATTCGAGAGAGGAGGAAAGTTCGGAAGTCTGTCGCGCAGACCCAGAGAAGTACACTGAGGATGTTTCCAGCCATGCTAAAGAGCAGGGCCGTCCGACGGCCATATCGGTCGGACAGTGTGCCAATGATTGGGGATGCGAAGGCTTGGAGAATTCTATGCCGGTCAGTATTTCCAGCTTTAAATCGTCCGTCAAGCCTACTTACGAGAACAGGCTTCCCAATGCCCCACCGAGTAGTACGATGTCATATCTTGAATCGATTGGTCTCGCAAAGGAGGCTTTGTAGGCATTGAGGTATGTGAGGATACGTGCGAGTATCGATGGAGAACCGTTGGCAGAGCTGAACTGAGTCGGCGCCTCGAGACTATTCCACAATCAGTCCATATTCTTTAACTCGGGTGGGAGAACTTGCTCTCGATAGTATGAAAGGAGAGATGGAAACAATGGGAGAATGAAAGTGAAGCTGATCTACTTCAATTGTCAGTCAGAAGCTCCCCAGGCGCGAAAACAAGAGAACGGGTGCAGGGAAACGTCAGGCTAGAGCCCGGGACATTCAGAGCATCCAACATACCAGATCTAGCAGCAGAGATATGAAAACAACCCTCAGCACCTTCTTCCTCGTCGCAGGATCCACAGGAGCTGCCATATTAAAGTTGTTGATTGCAGACGTGGATTCTCTAAAGATTCCAGGAACAGGTTCAGCGATCTGCTGGTTTAGCAGAACGTGCGTCAAATCTGCCCAGCGCAATAATCGTGATGCAAGAAGGCGCAAAGTGGCTCTTGTGACATTAGGGATAGTGAGGCTAGCGTGTTGTGGATGAGGTTTGCCCTTTCAGTGGCTTTCGAAACACCTCGGATCTACTAAAAGAATGACGCTGTAATAGTCCCCTAGCGAGCCCTGCAGCTGCAAGTCGGGACAGCGTCCAGGAAGGCCTAGCCCTAGCGTAGTCTCCTCCATGGTGCCCTAGGGGTCGGGGCGGCTTGGATTACTGTGTTTTTATTGGGGATTGAGGGGGAAGGTAACTTATTATGGCCAAGAAGATCTTCACGGAAGCCGGATGTTGTGATCTCTCGGGAGTTATTCTTGAAGTCATCCGAGACATGCCAATATTGACCCAGCAACGATAGGATGAACTGCAAGCGGGGAAAGCGAATAAAATTCCTCATCACCAACTTTTATTGCATATTAACGCCATTAAAGCCATCTGAGTCAAGGAGCAGCATTCACTCAATGAGACCAAGTACCGAATAATCATTCCAGCCTTTCACTTCTAAGACACATTTCTCCAGTGAGAACCCTTTCAAGCAGGTATCAAACCAACCTTGACCCCATTCCGTGGTGCCATAGTTAAAGTCATGGCTTCTGTAAGGATCGAACTATCCCTTGGTTCAATTCTCTTGAAAGCTTGAAGAATTCGGATAGTTGCGTAAGATGCTTCTGTGAGAGCAAATTGTTGACCAATGCTAAAGTCTGTCAGTGAGGCACTTTTGACTATTAGAGCTCCTACCATATCCGTGGACCACCGTTGAATGGAAGAAAATGCCAGCTAGAACAAGTCAGTAACGACGTGATCAAGTAGCCTCCACTGAGACACACCTGGGCCTCAGATTCTCCCATCTTTCTGGCTTGAATTCTAAAGCATCCTCTCCATATAAGTCTTTTCTTCGATGCATCACATACACTTGATAGTTTACTTGTGTACCAGCTTTGACGAAGATAGGAGATTTGCCATCGGGGCCACCACCCACTGGGAGTGTGGTATCCTTGATTGCGAAGCGGAAATTGGATGGGACAATAGGCTGCATCCGAAGCGCTGTCAAAATTAGTGTGTAGTTCGAAAGGTCAAGACTGTCAGCGACTCACTTTCATTTAGACCTAAAATCCGCAGTTAGCATTGTTCTTTAATATTCCACAAGGGCGGCCGCGAAGGATTTACGATGGACATCAGACGTGCAAGGAGAAAGATGGGAAGATAAGAAGGAGTTGAGGAATGTTCCTACAGTATTGAAGATACTTCATCCCCTTCATATCCTCAAATGTCGGTTGATCGTTTCCGAGAGCCACGACCTCTGCTCTGAGCTTGTCAAAAACATCGGGTCTGCGAGCGAGGTAATGAAACAGATAACTGAGTAGGCCGGCGGTTGTGTCCCGACCTGCAAGGAGAATATTCAACAGTTCATCTTGTATCTTTTTTTCACTGTATCCAGTCTTTGCAAGCTCTTCCAAGAAGACATATCGCCTCGAGTTTGCCTCTCCCGGAGTTTCCAATGTTAAGCTTTTCTTGTGCAAAGCTTTCTGCACGTAGTTTTGAACATATTCATGTATCAAATTTACGCTGTCCTTGAACTTCTTGTCCGGGAGAATTACTGCCAATTTGCCAAGTCGGGTTTGAAGACTCATCCGCGCTGTGGCGTAGTTGAATGCCTCTCCAAACTTAACCCCTTCCTCATTGGTGACATCACCTTCCAAGACACTGGTGCTTTTCCCAAAGAGAAATTCAGTTGCACTATCAAGTGTCAACATGAAGAAGAGCTCCTGTAGATCGACTGTTGTTTCGTCTTTGGGAATCCACGAGATCATTGCTGAGACATGATGTTCGAAGGTCTCGATGTCTGCGATCTGATTTCTCGAAAAGTTCGGTCGTAGAAGTGCTCGAGAAGCCTCCCATTCTTTTCCATCTGTAGTGAAGATGCCATGTCCAAAGATAGGTTGGAGTGCCTGCAATTGCGATTAGTGTGCTTCCTCTATGGCTGGAATGACAAGCCAGGCTGCGAAGAGCACTATTCCATATGATGACACGGAGTCGAAAAACATACTTCTTTACGCCTTGGGGGCAGCTCAAAGTCCTTGAATTGGGTTGCAAGCATTGCTTTTATATTCTCCGGCTCAGCCGTGTTAATTACTCGAGTTCCCAAGAGTAGTTGTGAGAATGTCCAGCAATCCAAGGCAAGATAGCGTTCTCTAACGCGATCCCAAAACCCACCAGTCTTTGTGAGCTTTGAGTTCTCGAGGAAAATATCGAGGCCAAAGATTGGGTCGCGATGGGGGTAAGTCGCCACAGGCTTACAGCCATTCTTTTTTATTATTGAATTGTGACGGTAGAACTGCGCTGACAGTCGGACAATCTGGTAAACAATGTAGAGGGCAAAGAAAGCGAGGATGCCTTTGGAAGTCAATGAGAGGTCTTGAAGAAGAATCGCCATATTGGATTTTCGATCTGTAGGATATCTTGTCAGAGAAGAATATGAGGAGTTACACGGGAATCAGTGCGGGGTATCACTGTATCTTAAGTGTTGGCTCCGGCATATTCTGTTAGCTTTATCTCGGCACTCGGTATTTCATGAACAGGTAACTGGAAGGGTGCTATTTTAGAAAGAGCTTATTATTCTAGAAAATGGGCCCATTCTCTTTGGAATAAGTCCTGGTCGGGAAGAACGACAAGGTACTAGGACATTGAGATTAGCCAGAGCACCATTTCACACCCAAATCTCTCACCGAACACTTTGAAAAAAAAAAAAAATGAAAAAAAAAAAACCTACCCACTCA